TCAAACCAGTTCATATTCCCTTTTGATGTTGCAGTTGTGGGTTTGATGACAGTGTTGTCCTCTTCAGAATTTCTGTCTTGATCTTCACTCTTCTCATAATATGAGTCTATTCTACATGTCTTTTTACTCATGGTGTTTCTTTATTCCCTGGCCTTTAAAGAGATTAAGCTCTCCTGCTGGGGAGCAGAGGGCACTGACCCAAGCTTCTTGTGTTGGGAGCCTAGGTCCTGGTCACTGGCTTTGTATGCTAGGGCCTCTTATGTTGGCAATTGGAGGCTGTAGGGTTCTGCCAGCTTATCTGGAGTTGGGTTGGAATCAGCAAGGCTGGGCTTTCAGGAAAATCTAGGTTGCCTGCTTTTCTTTTCCTTTAGCTTTGTTTAGCTCCTTTTAGATAAGTGCTGCCAGGTGTTTATCTCTCTGGGGCCCCTTGCAGTGCTGCCTCCCTTATTTCTGTTGAGGCACTGAGAGACTTCTTTTCTGTAGAATGCCGAGGTACCTGGTGGTTTTCTGAGCTGGTTTCCACCAGTTACCCCACCCTCACTGAGGCACTCGGAGGTACAGCTGTTGGTGTTTGCCTGCTGGACCACCCGGGCTTCTGGATCTCCTCCTGGTTGGCAGTTGGAGGCTGTAGAGTTCTGACAGCTTACCTGGTGTTGGGCTGGAATCAACAAGGCTGGAACTTTTGGGCACCTCTAGGTTGCTTTCTTCAGCTCCTTTCAGATGAATGCTGCTGGGTGCTTATCTGCCTGGGGCCCTTTGTAGTTCTGCTTCCCTTATTTTTGCTGAGGCACTGGGAGACCCGTTTGCTGTAGAATGCTGAGGCACCAGAATCTCCTCCTGGTGTGCTAAAGTGGGTCTTTCCACTAGCTGGCTGGGTGACTCCTGTTTCGTACTGTTCCCCTTCCTCCAGGGTAAGAGGGGCCTTTCCCATTAATGCCTCTAGCTACCTGGGCTACTGCACTGCTGTACCCTGTCTTTCTTCTGGTTCAGCTGTTCCAGGGTTTTTTTCTGGGGTGATATTTTCTGGGTTTTCAGAGGTTGATAGGGGAGGGTGAGAGTAACTACCTTTTTACTCCACCATCTTGGATCCCAGAAGTGGAAGTCTCCAATGACTACTTTTTGTAACTGAGTAAAAGCATTCTGATGAAATCATCTTTGAGATCCAGTGGCAGACAAGATGGTAGGGATGGTAATGATGATCAAATGAGGTAATAAATGTAAAATAAATGTAAAATTGTTATAGACATAGGGAATAATATTAGTTATTATGATTTAATATCCGTAATTAATATGTCCTCACACTCTAGGAGTCTAACTACTAGGTACTTTAATTTCCCTTTTTTACTCTACAGTGTAATCATCTCTTAATAACTGTCTTAGTATATAGTTTTTACCATAAAAAAGTACTTACTTTTTGCCCTGAAGACAGTCCCATTTCTTTCTCCCAATGCCTTTTCTTTTCCTACATTTTGGTCTCCTACAAAATGCTTTTCCTGTTCTCCTTTAAATTAGTATTAAGCTTCCAAGGATTTGTTTATAAATTGCGGCATTTTCCCCCATTGTTTCTATTCTATGGATTATGAGCCCTCAGGAACTGTGATTCTTCCCTCTTCTACCCCAAATTTGTTCCAGACTTGAGGTTTTTATATAAGGACTTATGTTGTCAAAACTCTTTCCACCAAAGCATGTTTACACTACATCTATAACTATCCAGTCTTTTAGAGCTGCCCAGAGAATTGAAGAGACAACTAGGTGGTGCAGTGGATAGAGTGCTGGGCCTGGAGTCAGGGAGACTCATCTTCCTAAGTTTTAATCTGACCTTAGATACTTCCTAGCTGTGAGACTGGGAAGTCACTTAACTCTGTTTGCCTCAATTTTCTCATCTATAAAATAAGCTGGAGAAGGAATGGTAAACCACTCTAGTATCTTTTCCAAGATGACCTGAAATGGTGATGAGTCAGATGAGTCAGATATGACTGAAAATGACTGGAAAAACAACAAGAATATTGAAAAGATTGGGTGACTTACTGTGGTCAAAGAGGTATTTTGTATCAGGGGCAATACTTGAACCCAGGTCTTTCTAAACCCGAGTCCTTTTATCCACTTCACTATGTTTCCTCTTATGAGTCATGATAAAAAATGACCTCTGACTTCAAGGTTCCAAACATAAATGATAACATAAGTGTAAAAAAGTGTATGTGTGTGTGTGTGTTTGTGTGTGTGTGTGTTGATGATTCTGGAAGAGAGTAAGGTCAATGACTTCACCTAACTGCCTCAGTTGCATCCAATTTATGCACTAATCAAAACATTGCCCATAACATTTTGCCATTTTCACCTATCTCAAAGTCCTGTGGCAATAGGCAAGTGATAAAGCAGCAGGTCAACCCTGCATACAAGCAGCCCAGGCTATAGAATCATCTTCTCACTGGAAGCAGCCGTGCAATTCGGCAGCCCCCTGGGTATTTGGATAGCCTTTTAAGGACTGCACTATTCACTTCCTGGTGTGAGGAAGGGGCTAGAAAAGGTGCCCTAAAAATTGTCTGTTTTACCCAACCCTTACCACGGCAAGCAGGGATTTCATCCTGTGGTCAAAATGCAAGCAAAAAAATGTACAAAAACTTCTGCAAAGATGATTTCACTAACTATCGGTACATGGAATGTAAGCACGCTTATGAACAAAATGAAATCCAGTAGACCTGAAAAACAGATTGGCTCTTGCTGCAAGAGAACTTAGCAGGTATTGCATCCAAATAGGAGTGCTGATTGAAAAAAAAGAAGCCTGGCAAATGAAGACCAGCTGCTGAAGTTGAAGCTGGATGCACGTTTTTCTGGAGTGACTGCAGTAAAGGGGAGCACTGTGAAGCTGGTGTAGGTTTTGCGATCAAAAACTAATCTAGTCAGCATGCTTGTGTGCCTACAAAAAGGAGTTAATGTTAGGCTTATCACAATGCTATTGCTACTTGCAGGAAAGCACCATTCCACCACCATCAGTGCATATGCTGCCACCATGACGAACCCTAATGAAGTCAAAGAAAAAATTAATGAATTTTATGACCTGGAGACTCTCATCATCAATGTGCTGAAAGAGGACAAGCTTATAATTCTGAGTGACTTTAATTCAAGAGAAGACATAGACTACCATACATGGCAAGGAGTCCTAGGGAAGAATGGGAAACAACAACAGTAATAATCACTTACTATTGAAGACTTGTGCATCTCATAACCTTCTCATCACCAATATTGTCTTCCATTTACTTAAATACAATAAAACTTTGTTAATGCATATTTGCAGCAAACGTTGGCATTTAATAGACTATATCATTATGAGGAGAAGAGACAAATATGAGATGTGACAAAGGCAATGTGTGGCACAGAGTGCTGGACTGATCATAGACTTATCCTTTCCAAGCTAAATATTTGCATTCAACAAAAGCAGGGGCCCCAAGGCAAGATGACTACCAGAAGACTTAATGATAAGAGATTAGAGTATCCCTCCATGTAGGAACAGTTTGTTGCTAACTTGGTGTACCTACTTCAACTCTCTTCTCTGAGCAAAGCAGAATTTCAGCAGCTCAAAAGAAACATGAGATGCACACATTTAGAGACATTATTACTCCAAATGTTCATATGGACTATTTGTGCCCGACCTGCAGCAGAACATTCCAGGCTTGTATTGGTCTGATCAACCACTGTTAAACACACTCTACCTTGACTCCAACATAGTGAGGTCATTTTTGTCTTCTTTAAGAACAAAGAATAAGAACCAACCAACAACATATACATGAATGAAAGCCTTTGGGCAAATGTGATTTTATAAAGTTAGCTGTCAAAATGTTTATTTCTGGGCAAGCTAGAGAGTAATTTGGAGAATAACAATTGGATAAACAATCTAAAGTAAAACTCAGTCTCTTGACTCAAGTCAGAGATATAACCACACGCATTTTGTTCTACATCCTCTTTTTGTCCTTGTTGAGTCCTATGCAAAAAGAAATCCTTTAAAAACTGGGAAACCCTGTTGGCTTGCTGCTAAGCATCTTTTATATGTTAAAATTCCACTTATAAGCATGCATCTGTTTTTCTTAGCATAAGTACCAGAATCTAATACAGGTACACAATGGATCAATTATGGTGGTCTGAGGCGTTCTTTTTCCCACTTTATGCTTCTTATCTATTTTCATTATTGCAGAGCCCTGGAAAAGTAAGTATGGTATGTCAATGTTTCCCATAGGTATCTGAATGTGATTCACAAGTCAGACCCTATCATGCTCTGGGGCCAGGACATAGAGTACATGAGGTGAAGGGTCTGAGTAGTAATGACATGTTCAGCAGATTTGAACTAAAAGCTACATATTTAATCCTCTGACATACAGATCAATCCCTTAACACTTGACAATAATAGACCATAGTGGGCATGTTAAATGGCATTTAAGACCATTTTTTCCACCTGATTCTTCCTTTCTGGATTTTATTCAAATGCTACTAATCTTAGAACTGCAACTTGTTAAGTCATAGGGATACTATTAGTGCTTGAGAAAAGCAAACCAAAAAAAAAAGTTAAGTCTACATTCTAGCATGAACAGTTATCATCATTGTGTCATTATCATCATCATCATCATACCCCATACCAAATTCCTTGTAAAGCAAATAGTAAGTCACATTTCTTTAGCATTTCAAAGTTTAAAAGGCACTCTTCTTACAACAAACTTGTGGGGATCAGAGTTACAAATGTCATTATCTTTATTTTAAAAATGAAGACACTGGATCTCAGATTTCCCATTGTCACACAAAGGAAACATACTAGACATGAAACCAGGTCTCCTCAGTCTAAATCCAATGCTCATTTCACTATCCCACAAATTATAGTTCAATATAATATTGCTTGAGACAAGTTAGTCACAATGTCTGTATACTTTGAATATACCATTTGCTCATGTTTTATTAAAATGATTCCATTTCACAGTCCCATTTTCCTTTTCTACAGGTTGAACCAGTAATACAGAAAGGCCATGAGAGCCTAATACACCACATTCTCCTCTACCACTGCAGTAACAATTTTAATGAGAGTGTTTTGGATTATGGCCATGAATGCTATCACCCCAACATGCCAGATGCTTTCCTGACCTGTGAGACTGTGGTCTTTGCTTGGGCCATTGGTGGTGAGGTAGGATTAATAGTTAAAAAGCCTACAATTTGTCATCAATGTGTAAACACTTTCTGTATCTCTAAATGCTGTCTCTAACATGCTTGGCCCATTTGGCTTTGAGAATCCAGATCTGGGTCTTGGTGTCAGGAAGACCAGGATATATCCTACCTATTCCTCATAGAAGCTGTGTTACATTAGACAAATTACTTAACCTCTCATTTCTCCCAGGCAATTCTCTAAGACTTCAAGTAGCAGAATAGTTGCTGATCTGACTTGGTAGGAGTTTCCTCACTCAGAATTGCCTACATCAATGAAATAATGGTCCCTGACCTTCACCCCTAAAGCAAACAAATAAAGAAAAATGGCTTTCTTCTCTCCTTTCCTCATAGGAAATAATTATTTTACCAAGCCATTTAATTTTGTTTTTATGGTTTTAAATATTTGGTAATTCTGGAATTTCTTTGAAAATTGAAAGTTTGTAGATTAAAATTAAAGCTTTCAGTAGGGATCATATTATAGTGATTTACATAAATCTCAATTCTTAGGGATTTTCATATCCTCCTCATGTTGGCTTGTCCCTGGGTACACCATTAGACCCTAACTACGTTCTTCTGGAAGTTCATTATGATAACCCAACATATCAGGAAGGTGAGTTTCCTTTTTAATATATATCTTTTCTACTTTATATTTATAAAAATGATATTTTATGAATCTTCCAAAGTCACTCACTAGGAACTCAGACAAAAGAACAGTACTTTGCTTACAGGAGAATTTTGTGGAATTGATTTGAATCTCTAGATTCAGTTCAGTTGTGGTATAGAATATCACAAGTTATGCTTTGTAGCATACTGTATAAGTCTTTGAGGCACCCTTGTTCTAGAAAATGAAGTAAATATACAAAGTACCATTTATTTAACATTGTAAAGTGGAAGTATTTGTATCATCTAGCATGTTATTTTGTCACACGGGGCAAAAATCATAAAGGTTGCCTTTAAGATCTAGGAAGACTATCTTTGGGGCAGCTAGGTGGTGTAGCGGATAGAGTACAGGGCCTAGAGCCAAGAAGCCTCATCTTCCTGACTTAAAATCTGGTTTCAGATACTTTACTTGCTGTGTGACCCTGGGTAAGTCACTCAACCCTGTTTGTCTCAGTTCCTTATCTGTAAAATAAGAAAGAGAAGGAAATGACAAACCCCTCCAGTATCTGTGCTAAGAAATCCCCAAATGGAGTCATGAAGAGTTGACATGACTGAACAACAAAAGACTATCTTTAATCACTTAGTTTACTTATGAAATCCATCAAGGATAATGAGGTACAAAGAGAGTTTTGTTTTTGAATCATAAGGCTAACTGAAAAAAAAAGGGGAAAACACATTATATTACCTTCAACTTTAAACAAAAAAGATATAAAGATGCAGTGCCCTGAAAAGAATGCCAATTAAAAATCTGCTATAGCTATTTGTTCTGCTTGCTTTTTCATACTGAATCTATTCTGCATCCTCCGTAGGTTCTCTCCCAAAATGAACCTGAGAAATTTAAAAACAAAACTTCCCTAAAATAGTAAAAACTGTTTTAAAAATCATACTGTCAATACATTATAGGAATAATGTTTCCCTTTAAGCAAAATACAATAGTGGGAGGAACAATAATATTAATTTTGCTACTTAACATTGGCACACATCATATATTACATTTATATAAGACTTTTAACTTTCCAAAGAACTTTCATAGATATCATCTTTTGCTCATTGGAACAATTCTTCATAAACAGTATAAGTACTATGCAAATTAGCAATTTGATATAAATGAATTCTTCCCCTATTACCTGATAGAATATTTTGAATCTAGGGGTTTATGCTACTTTCTTTATTTTCTTTGCCATATCCATTTTACCATTAAGAATCAATGAAGGTACCAGACCACACCTATCAGACTAGCTAACATGACAAAACAGGAAAATGATAAATGTTGGAGAAGATGTGGGAAAATTGGATTATTGCATTATTGGTGAAGTTGTGAACTGATCCAACCATTTTGAAGAGCAATTTGGAACTATGCCCAAAGGGCTATAAAAATGTGCATACCCTTTGACCTATCAATAGAACTTTTAGGGCTGTATCCCAAAGAGATCATAAAAATGAGAAAAGGACCCACATGCACAAAAATATTTATAGCAGCTCTTTCTGTGGTGGTAAAGAATTGGAAATTGAGGGGATGCCTATCAATTGGGGAATGGCTGAACAAATTGTGGCATATGAATGTAATGGAATACTACTGTGCTATAAGAAATGATGATCAAGCAGACTTCAGAAAAACCTGGAAAGACTTGTATGGACTGATGCTGAGTGAAGTGAGCAGAACCAGGAGAATATCGTACATATTAAAAGCCACACTGTGCGATGACTAACTGTGATAGACAGCTCTTCTCAGCAATGCAAGGATCTAAGACATCTCCTAAAGTCTAATGATGGAAAATGCTATCCACATCCAGAGAAAGAACTATGGAGTTTGAATGCAGATCGAAGCATACTATTTGCTCTTTTTTCCCTTCTGTTTTGTTTTGTTTCTTCTTTCTTGTGGTTCCTCCTATTGGTTCTAATTCTTCTTTCCAACATGACTAATGTGAAAATATGTTTAATAGTAATGTATATGTAGAACCTATATCAGATTGCACATCATCTTGGAAAGGGAGGTAGGGAAGGAGGGGGAGAAAATTTAAAACTCAAAAGCTTATGGAAGTGATTGTTAAAAGCTAAAAATAAATAATTTTTTTTTAAAGATTCAACAAAAAAGTGGAATATGAACTTTTTATCAGTTTAGGTGAAGAAAGAACTCAGATTTTTTTTAGTTTTGTTAATTTTTAGACATTCATCATTTTACTAATATTTGGGGAGATTGCCATTTTATCTTTTTAAATGTATTTTTCTAGGGATTTGAACTGTCCGTGGCTTGGAGCCTTCACAGCTGCTGTGTGTCTGCAGCTCCCCTCCCCAAATAGGGGGCTCTGAGTTCTGGGGATGCAGCTGTGGAAAGCAGCCTCCATTATAGCACAGCTGTAACTGTGCCCTCTGATTAGCCACATTCCTTGCCCTAAATCTGATACCAAATAACTCAACATTAGGGTCACCTTATTGCAATGATTCTGACTAACTGACCTCTTACCATTTTTTCCCCTAAGAATTTTATATAGAGTGGTGGCTCTGTATGTGAATAGGGTCAAGCAGTTTGTGCAAAAAGTAATATACTTTGGAATTCTACCCCTATGATGGCTGCTGGTCTGCTTAAACCTTCCCTTGTGTATCACTATGTGTTTCTCAGAGAAATGTTGTGAAAACTGGTTCAGGAGAGATTTTTTTCTTCTCTGTCTTCAGAAGAATGTGGATCTCTGATGGTAATTCTATTCATTTTTGGCAGATTGTAGGTAACAGAAAAGAGTGTAGGGAAGGTCTAGAGTGGTCAATTACCAGAACCACAGCTGATAAGAACTGTTCGCAAACTAAACTGACTGATTTTTCCAGTAAGGATTTGCCAGTAAGATTCCAAGGGCCTGTCTATCTCTATGTACAAATAATCTAATGGGGAGACAACATGCCAACTATATACAAACAAAATATATACAGGACAAATTAAAGATAATCTCACAAGGAAGGCACTAGCATTAAAGAGGATAGGGAAAGGTTTATTGAAGATAGGAAAACAGCTAAGACTTAAGACATAATAAGAATCAAATGAGATAGCATATTAAAGAGTTTTACAAAACTGAAAGCTTTATATTAATGTACATCTATTGTTGGCTAACTGTTGAGTCTATCATCTTTCTGTCAGAAGATGGGTAACATGCTTCTTCACTGGTCCTCTAGAAAGCTCAAAAATTTAACCTTCATTTAAAGAGTAAAGAGACATGACAGCTCAACACAGCTAAAGGGAAAAGATGGGTTGGGAGTATTTTCTTCCTCTTTGGAATTTAGTTTAACCTTTCCAGTCAGTTACTTTGGAGCAGTTCAGGTTTTCCTTTAGAACTATCTTATCTTCTACTACTGATGCAGATTATAAACTCTCCTTGTAGTCAATTACCAGGAGGGCTGTCTTAAATGACAGGGAAGGAGATCCCTTAGAGGTGAGATAATAAAGCTCAAATAAAAGGTGTATTTGTTTAAAATTCACAAACTGAAGAAGTTTTAATTAGAAATCAATGAGCCAAAATTACTCTGTAGAAAGGTACAGCCTACAAAGGAAAGCTATTGCATTGACCAGAGTTCTTGAATCTTTCCAGTTTATTTGTCTTTGCAATATTGTTGTTATTTAATGAATTGTTCTCTAGGTTCTATTCACTCCAATCTGTATCAGTTCATACAAGTATTCCCACATTCTTTTGAAATCATGACTTTTTGTCATTTCTTATAGCCCAATAGTATTATCATTACATTCATATAATACCAGAATTTTTTCAAACATCCCTCAATTGACACCCCTCCCTTTAGTTTCCAGTCATTGCCACCACACAAAAAAAGAACTGTCATAAATAGTTTTGTACATTATCCTCTTTCTTGGATCTCTTTGGGGTATAAGCCTAGTACTACTATTGCTAGGTTGAAGGGTATGCATGGGTTAGGAAGTCTGGTGGCATAGTTCCAAATTGCTTTCCAGAATGGCTAGACTAATTCATAGTTCTAATTGAGTGTTAGTGTGTCTATTTTCCTGCACACCCATTAACATTTGTCATTTTCTTCATCTTTACAAATCTGATGGGGGTGAGATAGAACCTCAGAGTTGCTTTGATTTTCCTTTCTTGAATTGTTAGTGATTTGGAGCAGTTTTTCATATGGCTATTGAGAGCTTGAATTTCTATAAGTACTTAATAAATAGTTGTTTGATTGATTTATTGATTAGTTCACATAAATTTTACAAAGTTTCTCAGAATTCTTCACATTAGCCATTTCTTATAGTGTAATAATATTCTGTTCTATTCATTTATCATAATTTTAGCCAATTCAATATTGATGGGTATCTACTTTGCCATAATAAAAACTGTGTGTGTATATGTGTGTATGTATGTATGTATATATGTCTTTGTGTCTGTATGTATATACCCTTTCTTTCTGTCTTTGATCTCCTTGGGAGTATATGCCTAGTAATGGTATGGCTGCATCAAAAGGCATGTACAATTTTTAGGGGCTTTTTAGTCACTAAATTGTTTTCAAGAATAATTAGATTGCAAGATTGTGGATTAAGGGCAGTCACCCAGCTGAACTCTCCCAACATTCTCCTCCAAACAACTTTCAAATGTCACTCCAAATCAAATTTTGGAGTGGCAGAGACAACAAAAAATCAAGATAAGATTTTTTCCAGCCTAAGAAAACTTAAGAGGTAGGAAGGAGAAGTCTCTAACACTGACATAGAGGTCTGGTACAGGTCTGGACCTCATGCATGTGATGAGGCAGCAGTGGTCACAGAAGCTCTAGCAGCAGCTTTGGGAGCTCTCAGCTCAGAGATGGTGAGGTTGGCAACTCTATTGTCCATATGCAGCTCTAGGTCAAAGTTCTAGGGTGGAGAGGAGCATTAGTGAGGTCAGTCACAAGTGAGCAGGGACCCTGGTCATTGTACCAAAGGAGAGAGGAGCACTAGTGTGTGCAGCTGCAGAGGACTAGGTACATTTCCTTGGTAAAGACCAGAGCACAGACCAGGAGAGCAGTGACCCCTCCCAGTATCACACCACCTTGGAAGCACCAAAATCTACCAGAATTCCAGAACAATCTATGAAAATAGTGGTACAAAATACTTGAATCTGGGGAAGGTTCCTTCCCGCCCTCAGGTGAGCAGAGCCCAACTTTACCATGAAGTTCAAAGTCAATAAATAGGCTGGAAAAATGAGCAAATAACAACAAATAATTTTACTATAATAAACTACTACCATGGCAAGGAAGATTAAAACATTAACTCAAAAGACAACAATATGAAAATAGCTACAAAAAAGTCTCAAAGAAAAATGCTAATTGGACTCAAGACCAGTAATAATTCCTGGAAGAGTTAATGAAAGAGATGGATGATAGAGGAAAAATTCAGAAAAGAAATGAGTGTGATTCAAGAAAATTATGAAAGGAGAATTAACAGCTTAGTAAAAGAGACACAAAAAATACTGATGTAAATAACACCTTAAAAAAAGAAAAACAGAATTGGCCTAATGTTAAAAGAGGCACAAAAATTCACTGAAGAAGTCCTTAATAAGCAGAATAGGCCAAATGGAAAAAAAGTGTCACTGAATACAAAATCTCACTGAAGAAAATATATCCTTAAAAATTAGAATTGGGCAAGTATAATCTAATGACTCCACAAAACAACAAGAAACAATAAAAACAAAGTCACAAAAATGAAAAATAAATATAGAAGAAAATGTGAAATATGTCATTGGAAAGCAACTGACCTGGAAAATAGATCAAAGAGAGATAATTGAAGAATTATTGAACTATCTGAAAGCCATTATCAAAGAAAGAGCCTAGACTTTATATTTCAAAAAATAATTGAAGAAAACTGCTCCAATACCTTCGATCCAGAGAGTAAAATAGCATTGAAAGATTCCCCTGGATCACCTCCTAAAAGAGATCCAAAATGAAAATTCCAAGGAATATTATAGCCAAATTTCAGAACTCCCACATCAAAGGAAAAATACTTCAAGCATCCAGAAAGACACAATTCAAATATTGTGGAGGCACAGTCAGGATCATGTAAGATTTAGATGCTTCCACATTAAAAAAGTGGAAGACTTGGAATATCACTTTCCAGAAGGCAAAATAACTAGAATGAAAACCAAGAATCACCTACCCAGCAAAACTGAGCTTTTTTTCTTTCCTTCAGGGGAAAAATGAATATTTAATGAAATAGAGGACTTTCAAGCATTCCTGATTAAAAAAAAACAAAGCTAAATAGAAAATCTGACATTCAAACACAAGAGAAGCATAAAAAAGATAAACATGAAGGAGTAGTCACAAAGGACTCAATAAAGTTAAACTGTTTATATTCCTATATAGGAAGATGATACGTGTAATTCCTAAGAACTTTATCATTATTAGGGAAATCAAAGGAGTTTACATAGGCAGAGGGTACAGATGGGAGATGATAATATTGGAATGATTCCCCCAAAAAAAATTAAGGGGAAAGAAACAGGGATGCACTAAGAGAAGGGGGAAGGGAAAGAGATGCACAAGGAAGTATGCAGACTGTGCTTAAACCTCACTCTCAGAATTATTTCAAAAAACAGTATGTATATATATATATATATGCATATATACATACACACACACATATATATATATATGTTTTTTTAAATAATTCTGAGAGTGAGGTTTTTTTGGGGGGGGCAGGAATCATTCCTAACTGTGTATAGAAATGTAACATATCCAATCAGGAAATAGGAGGAAAAGGGGATAAGAGAAAAGGGGGTAATGATCAAAAAGAGGGCAGATTAAGGAAAGCAGTGGTTAAAATCAAAATAGTCTTTTGAGAAGGGACAAAATGAAACAAAAAAAAAGAAGAAACAAAAGATAATGAGATGGAGAGAAATGCACAGTTATTAATCATGACTGTGAATGTGAATGTGGATAAGTTCAGCCATAAATGGAAGCAGATAGCAGACTGATTAGAAACCAGAATCCAACAATAAGCTGTGAACAAGAGACACACTTGGAACAAGAAGACACATGTAGGGTTAAAATACAGGGCTGGAGCAGAATCTATTATACTTCAGCTGAAGTAAAAAAGGTAGGAATAGCAATTATGATTTCAGATAAAGCAAAAGCAAAAATAGACTTGATTAAAAGAGATGATCAGCGAGACTACATTTTGCTATAAGTAATATTGAACTAAGTCAAATTTATAAAAATAAGAGCCGATTCCCAGTTGATAAATCATCAAAGGATATGAATAGGCAATTTTCCTAAGTAGAAATCCAAAGTATTTATAGTCATATAAAAGTTCTCTAAATCACCACTGATTAGAGAAATTCAAATTAAAACAACTCTGACTACTGCCTCACACCTTCAGAAATGACAAAGGCTGGAGGGGATGGGGAAACTAGGTTCATTAATGAACTGTTGGTGGAGTTGTGAACTGGTCCATTCTGAAAAACAATTTGAAACTATGCCCAAAGGGCTATAAAACTGTACATAGCCTTTGACCCAGAAATAACACTACTAGGTCTGTATCCTAAAGAGATCAAAGAAAAAGGAAAAGGAACTATATATACAAAAATATTTATAGCAGCTCTTTTTGTGGTGGCAAATAATTGGAAATTGAGGGAAGGTTCATCAGATGGGGAATGGCTGAACAAGTTGTGCAATATAATTGTGATGGAGCACTATTATTCTATAAGAAATGACAAGGTGGGGTGGTTTCAGAAAAAAACATAGCAAGATCTATATGAATTGATACAAAGTGGTGTAAGCCAAACTGGGAAATCATCGGGTACAGTACCAGCAATGTTGTTATGATGATCAACTGTGAAGGACATGGCTACTCTCATTAATACAATGATCCAAGACAGTTCCAAAGGACTCTTGTTGAAAAATGCTATCCACATCTAGAGAGAGAACTGATGAACTCTGAGTGTAAATTGAAGTATTATTTTCTTACTTTCTTTCTTTTTCTTTTTTTTAAATATGACTAACAAGGAAACATGTTTTGCACGATTTCACATGTATAACTGATATATTATTTGGTTTCTCAGTGGCAATGAGAAGGGGTGGGAGGGAGATAATTTGGAACTCAAAATTCAAGAATAAAAGAATGTTTAAAATGAGTCATACATTTGGGGGGGAGCAAAATTGGATCAATGGATATAAGGGAAAGAAACAAAGTACAAATATATAAGCTCGTACCAGTGATTAAGTAATTTTGAAAACACTAGTAGATAATTCCAAAGTAACTATAGTATAAGTACATTCAAGAGTTAGTACAGAAAGCTCTATACTTTTCCCTCTGGAATTGATTTTCATGATGAGGCACTAAAAAATCCTGTCATAAAAGAGAAAGAGTATATTATATTCAGTATACTGTTCTCACCAAAGCAGGAAAGAAGACTAACATTTAGGAAGGCCTTTCAACAACTAATGAAGGCCAGAAATGTTTTTTTTTTTGTTAAACCACAGTTAACCAGAACATTTAATTAAACAGAACACCCCATTGCTCATTTTTAAAGAATTCCCATTAAACTATTTTTATTGAATTAGACAAAACACATATTATTTCAAAATATTTAATAGAGTCCTTTGGGCACTATTTACAATCATTTTAGACTTTAGACAATTTCATAAACAGCCACATGTAGATACTTTATGAGATCAGCCTCCACACTTGAAGAATCAATGGATTTCATCATGATAGCTTGTGAGATGTCAGAGGGTCATAGATTGACAATGAGCCAAAAAGGGAGTTGGAATTAAAACCACATTGGATAGTTTTTTTTTCTTTTTATAATTAACAAATCAGTCACAGAGCAAGAGTTATTTATTCTTATTTTGAAACAATTGTGTCTCAGTTCAAAATTAAGCAATTCCTTCTTTGAATTAGTCTTGGTACTTGACCTTTAATTTAATATTTGTTCTTCATATTAGAGGATTGTGGCATACCAGGTAGGTGACTCAGATTTTTCCATAATTTACTGTGAAATTTGACAGTGGTTGAGGTAGTGTGAGGAGCAGAATAGTTTGTCTAGCTCTCCACACCTTTTAATTCAGGCTTTTCAATTCTTACAGTGCTTTCATGTATTGCCAACTTGATTCCTTCATTTCAGAGTTTTCATTGCAGAAAACTAATGAACCCAACCTAATAGACTAGAGAGTAATGGTATTTTTATTTTTTCTTTAAAGGGTCAAACTCACTTTCTATCATGTGCTTTTATTACAGGCTTGATAGATAGCTCTGGACTGAGGTTCTTTCATACCACCATTTTAAGGAAATACGATGCTGGGATAATTGAAGCAGGTCTCTGGGTCAGTCTCTTCCATAACATCCCTCCAGGAATGCCTGAGTTCAGATCAGAGGGTCATTGCACTCTGGAATGTCTTGAAGAGGTATGTCTCTTGTCTGACTTCGTTGGTTAAAATAATTTATGCGTTACTAGCATTCTCAGAAAAGTATGTGGTAAAACTTTCAAGAAGCAAACATTAAAGTAAAAGCTCTGAATTTAGCTATTATTAAAGATGTTTGCTGCATAGTATTAAGAATACACCTATTATTAAGGACATGTACATATTATTAAGTGCAATTTATTTACAAATTAAGGGTCCATTTCCAATGGACACACTGCAAAGACAAGTCATCTCTTTTTAATATTGGTTTGGCATTTAAGAAACACATTGGGCTCCTTTCTCTGTCTTAAAATCCTAAAGTGTGTTTCCTCGTTCTATCTTGGAGGACTGAGAGATCAGACATTATGAAAGAAAGCTCTGGATGGAAGGAGTAATTCAGAGTCCTGGGTTTTCTCCCTTATTTTCTTAATATCAATGACAGATTGCTATTTAATCTTTCCTTGTAATCCTCTCTCTGCTTGCAAGTATGGGGAACCTGCAATCTTGAGGCCACATATGGCCCTCTAGGTCCTCAGGTGTGGCTTCTTGACTGAATCCAAGATTCACAGAACAAATGCCCTTAATAAAAGGATTTGTTCTATAAATCTTGGACTTGGTCAAAAGGCCGCACCCAAGGACCTAGAAGGCCACATGTAGCCTTGAAGCCACAGGTTCCCCATCCCTGGCCTAGTACCTTCCCTGAACCTCTATTCTCTTTTTCTTTCTCTTTTTCCATTTCCTTGTTTCTCAATTGCCCTACTTCTCTCTATTCCCTTCTTCTCTTCTTCCTTCCTCACCAGAAGGAAATAATAATGCTGACAAAAGTGAACATAAGATAAAAACTGTTGTTTCCCCAGAATTCAGCAATTTGAAGAGATGTTTCTGAATGAAAGCTCTGTAAACTCAGGCCATATTTTTAAATGGATTATGGAAAATATTGAACTGAATAAACATTATGACTTAGAATTTACTTGTGCAGAAAAAGCAAAGATAGTCTTGAATAATCTCAATTAAGAATGGCATTGTGGTTGTTCAAACATTTATTAATTTTTGCCTTAGTTTTTCTTTTTCTGCCAACTGTTTGTTCAAGCTTCCATTACTGCAAACTATTTCAACCCGCCACTTGTTCTTCTACAAAAGGATGTATGCTCCCCGAGGGCATGAGCTTTCTTATTTTTGTCATCTAGCGCCTAGAACAATGAAAATAGAAGGCACTGAATAAATATTTTCTCAATGAATGTTTTTATTTATTTGTTTGTTTTGTTTTCAAAAATGTTGATGAGGGTTTTTTGTTTTCTTTTTTTTGGGGGGGGTCTCTCTCAGGCCCTAGAGGCTGAAAAACCAAGTGGAATTCATGTATTTGCTGTTCTTCTCCATGCCCATCTTGCTGGCAGAGGTATCAGGATGCGCCATTTCCGTAAAGGGGAGGAACTGAAGCTACTTGCTTATGATGATAACTTTGACTTCAATTTCCAGGAGTTTCAGTATCTAAAGGAAGAAAGAACCATTTTGCCGGTATGAATATCTTTATCCTTTTCCTTACAAGAGTATGGAAATCACAGTGACTTATTCTTATGAAGGATTCTACCAGTCAAATGAGTTTGGCAGAAAAGTCTATAAACTACAAAAGAATAAGATGCCATCATCATTGTTCACCAGCCCAGATAGGACACATTCAATTTGTCTTCTGAAATCTACTGATTTCCCTATTACTTCTGGCAATTGTTGTTGTTTAGTCACTTCAGGTGGGTCCAACTCTTCATGCCCCCATTTGCGGTTTTCTTGGCAAAGATACTGGAGTGTTTTGCCATTTCCTTCTCCAGCTCATTTAAAGATGAGGAAACTGAAGCAAATAGGGTTAAATGACTTGCCCAGGGTCACACATCAAGTAAGTATCTGAGGCTGGATTTGAACTCAGGTCTTCCTGACTCCAGGCTCAGTGCTGCATCTACTGCACCATCCAGCTGCTCCTACTTCTGGCAGTGGCAGGTAGTAATTATAAGTGCAGATTTTAAAAGTAGTCTTAGGTACTGGATACCCTAAAGACTGCTTCCCTCTTTATTTGATTTAAAGTTTAGAAATCCTTGGGTTTGATATCCTGTATGACAAGCAATTAGGCATCTTCTTAAGAGAGGGTAACATGAATTCCACTTACATGAGATAGACAAAAATGGTGAAAAAATAATAATTAAATTTGGAGCAGGATGGAAATGCTGTCATCTAAGAATGATTGTTATGGTGATGTCATAGGCTGGTAGGTGACGTAGTGGATTGAGTAACGGACGTGGAGTTAGGAAGACCTAAGTTCAAATCTTTCTTTAGATTTGTATTATCTGTATGACTTGGGGCAAGTCATTTCATTTATCTGAGCCTCAGTTTTCTCCTCTATAAATTGAGGATGATGGACTTGATGGCCTCTAAGGTCCCTTCCAGCTTTACATTTATGATCTTATGATATAATGACTTTGTGCTTAATGATTTAAAGACATGTGGTCAGAGCCATGTGAGTCACATATGTATATGTGTGCATATATGTTTGTATGCATGTATGTATATATGTAATTGGTGATAGAGTTGGGCATGTGCATTGATCTCTTACTGAGGGACATCCTCAATTTAATCTATCATTTTATTTGCAGATGCAAATATTATATGTGGCATATATATTCACGTATTCAAATATATCTTTTCACACACAACATATATACGTGTATATCCATCATATGAATAAATAGTCCAACTCATAGCAACACTGAAAGTCATAGAGAAATTTTAGAAAGGAATACATTCTATACTTTTTTGGTAGTTGCTTTCATAGAAATATTTTAATCAATTTGATAGCATGACATATCCCATATAAATATCCATGGTCTACTCTGCTAATCCAATTAGGATTTTCATGATGTTTAGCAGTGCATTTGAGTTCTGCCCATGGAAGTTGTGACCCAAAGCATGAGAACTGTTGAAATAAGTTCAGTCTTTATATTATACCTATACAACATTTTGTAGCACAACACCTGGACTTTTGAAAGATTAATATTAAATATAGAGAAAGTTATAGCATCTGCAGCTAACTCTCTTGAAGTCCTGACTTCATTAATAACAGATCTGATAAATGAAGCAACGCAAAATTCCAATTCCGAGCACTTCTAATTCTGTTTTAGGGGGACAACTTAATCACAGAATGCTGCTATAACACTAGAGATCGAGTACGTATGACATGGGTAAGCAGTTCTTTCAATCACGTTGAGTTGTTTGGAAAAGAAGGTATGAACCTTCCTTTATTTTTCTAAGAAATGAGGGAACAAAATATTCCCACTTGGAAAGAGGGAAGGTAAGAACTTGTGTACTACTACAAGAAAATGAGGTAAAATGCTTCAGATTTTATTAAAATTCAAACCAATAAATGCAATTACGTTATGTGGATAAATTCTTTGATAGTATAGCTTTTTATAAAAAGCTATTGCAAGTATTTTTCATATCAAGTTTTATTACTAAAATCTCTTTGGTCACTAGCTCAGTGTATTAGAGTACCTGGATGCTAATGAGAATAAGTTCAATCCTTGTATGGAGGTGGCCTTTTTTCTATTTCGTGGCTCCAGAATCCTGAGCCTAACAGGAGAACTGCTAAAGAGGACCAATTTTGAGAGCCCAGGGATTGGCACAAATGTTTGTAGGGAAAATGATTTCAAATGTAGGCCTCATACACTCAGTGTAACAATGGCAGTGTATTTATTCATAGCACTTTTTTTTGTTTTTTTTTGTTTTTGTTGTTTTGTTTTGTAAGAGAGGCGGGATGTGAACCCTTTACCCCTTCTGATCTCTTTATAGATGTGAATACCTTTTTGATTGAGTCAAGGAAAGTAATAACTTGATTGTCTGAGAAAGCAAATTAACTATACCTCTGGGGGGCTAAACTACATGGATTCTGGGAGTTCTGGAGTTGGAAACATTAAAAGTTGGGAGCTACCTTAATAAGAATAAACCTCTCCACGTTTGGGGTTTTTTTTGGGGGGGAAGACAGAGACAGAGGCAGAGACAGAGAGAGACAGACAGAGATTGACAGAGACAGACAGAGACAGGCAGACAGATGGAGAAAGAGAGAAATAGGAAGAGAGAGAGAGAGATTAATATATCTATGAATAGTTTGGTCCATTCTTCACAATGGAAACCAAAACATCTTTTTTGTCATTTAAAATATATATGATTTCTCATTTCCAGTCTTTTTAGCAAAACTTTATATAATTTGATCACTGAATTCTTGACTAGGAGGCAGTATGGATTAATGGAAAGCATGCTAGACCTAGAGTCTGGAGACCTGAGTTCAAATTGTGGCTGTCACACTTAACTAGTTGTATGAAGTTAGATAAGTCACTTAGCCTCTCTTGGTCTCAGTGGCTTCATCTGTAAAATGAGGATAATTATAATACCTGCCTCACTGGGTTATCATGAGAATAATGCTCTGTAAACCTTAACGTACTATGTAAGTTTGTACTGTTATTCTTGTGAAATGTTTTTGGCAGCACTACCACCTCCCTACTATTTGTGGTTGTTGTTCAGTTGTGTCTGACTCTTCATGACTCCATTCGGAGTTTTCTTGGCAAAGATACTGGAGTGGTTGCCATTTCATTTCTAGCTCATTTTATAGATGAAGAAACTGAAGCAAACAGGGTTGAGCAACTTGCCCAGGGTCATACAGCTAATAATTATCTGAGACTGGACTTGAACTCAGGTCTTTCTGACTCCAGACCCTGCACTCTATCCATTAAGTCACCTAGCTGCCCCATATCCTACTATGTAGCAGAAATATAATTAATATAAGAAAGTTCTTCCTTATTGAGGACAAATCTTATAATAGGAAATGGCCTTTTAGAATGAGTGTTGTCTTTCCATTCACTACAGCCTCCCAAAGTACCTTCCTTATTTCCAGGTACACTTTTAGCACTAATATTGTTTTAAACATAAAATATAACAGTCCTTTTTAAAGCCTCAGAGCTCTCCCTAGTCCCCTACCCCACTTGAGGCAAACCCATCCTAGCTACCTTAATGTATACTTGAAGAAACCCAATCTCTTCCTTTGGCAGGTGGGAATCCATCTTACCACATCCAGGGCAGACACTTAAGCAAATGTCAAAGATATCCTTCAAGGAATCTAGCCTACTAAAATATGTCCTATGCTGATGATGCATCTTGACCTTGGGTTTTTGAAAGCAGTGTCAGCACACTAGTAGGCCTTTGAGCATGGGACTAGCCACGACCTCTGTCTTGCACTTTAAGAATCCACTTCACCAACATGGTGAGGATCATCAGGGGAAGGATGATTAAGTGATGACTCACTATTTACCATGAATATCTAGGAAATAGACAAAAGTGCAAATGGTCCTTGGAATGATATAGCCCCATTGTATATAAGGAATGATGATAGTGGGGTGACAGAAAAGGCAACTAATGGGTAAACATCCACGTTTAGACCTACAAACATTAATATAATTTCATATTTTTGTATGTTTTTTTAATCAACCAATGTGCTCACTCACTGCTGGAGGAAATTAACACTATACATGTCAAAAAACAGCAGCAATAATAACTAACTTTACATAGGGATTGCAGACTTAGGGCTGGAAGGGATTGATCTCATTTTATCTTCACAACCAGCTTTGGGGGGCAGGTACAATTATCATCCATAATTTGCAGAAATATGGCAGTGAAAACTGAGGCTAAGACATTGTGACATCACCAGGGTCATTCATAAATGTTTAAGATGAAATTTAAACTCAGGTCTTTCTGAGTCAAATTCTAGTGCCCTATTTATTTTACTATCCTGCCTCACATGAAGTGAGTAACATGTAATACTAGAAGAATGCAAATTAGAGAACTTTGTGTGCACAATTGAATAAAGAAGTTCTGTCTTTTCTAATTAAAATTCTGAACAAATATGAGTAAATTAGGTAGAAGTTTTATTTCATTTATTATAGTAAACATGTAAAGAAATTTGAAAGAAGGAATACATCATTCATTCGTTTAACAAATAATGAGCTTCTAGTGTGTGCTTTTGTATTTTGTAGCACTACAAAGCTACAAGTAGTAGCATTACTACTTGTAAGTTATTTAGATAGCTTAACAGGTAGCTCTATCATGTTTTTCTCCTTTCTTCCTAGATAAATTTAGCTTAGACTTGGTGATGTGATTCCCAATCCTGAGATCAGAGCTAGAGTTAGGATAAGCTACTTGGATGAAGTGAGGAACTATTCTTCCATGCCCTCTCTGAGCTTAACTGAGTTCAAACTTTGTGTTGTTGCCCAAAGATGCAAAAAAAATCCCTCTATTTTCATAGTTATAAAATAAAAAAAATTCAGCCACATTGGTTATCTGTTACATTGGAAATAGGTTCATCTAGGTGATGGGTGTAATTATTTACAAAACTTGTCAGGTTGGCCAAACAGGTTAGAAAAGTTACTATGTTGATTAATACAAGTTGACCTTGTAATAGACGTAGCCACTATTCCTGATAATTATGAATGGTAATTCAGAAAACCAAAATCATGCTCAGGTTATTGTCTTTTAGCTTCGAGATTCCTTATACCTCACTGTTAGCAGGGACTCCAGGATATTGCTTCACGTATTACTCATCTCTCAACCATAGGTGATAATGGCTGTTATTAATGCTATTTTGATTGAAATCACTCCATTTTTAGGGTGGACTAAGCACCAGAAGTGAAATGTGCCTCTCATATCTACTCTACTACCCACGAATCAATCTTACTCGATGTGCAAGTATTCCAGACATTATGGAACAACTTCAGTTCATTGGTGTAAAGGAAATCTACAGGCCAGTCACGTAAGTAGTCCAAGGTCCTATGGCATGGGTTATTTATCCTTGTAGGCTCCAAGTGAACTTAACTTTTGTATTGGCTTCATTATCCAGCTATGATTCTCTTGGCTTTGATGTTCCATCATTTTTATACTAGTGGGAGGAACAACTGGAAGGGTGACCTCACATGTTTCCCATCTGATCTCTTCTGCCATATAAAACAGAAAAAGAAAAACTGGACTCACTGCTTTTGGTTAGCCATAAGGAGTTCTTCAAAGTGAAGGTCATTAAGACCTGGAATATAATAATAAGGGAAGTGGTCTCCTTTGGAGATTTATATCCAGATTATATGCTAGTCTGCCTTGAGTATGAAAATAGGTCTGCCTACATACTTGATGACTTTAAGGTCATTTTCTTTCTTATAGTGGTATTACTTTTTGAGGTGAGAAGCACTCAGGTACCATTAATATTATGCTCTTTAAGAGCTAGCTTGATAGCTATCAGCAATGACAGCAGAACTATATATAATCATTAGGAAAAGGAATACTAAATTAATCAGCAAACATTAATTTACCACCTATCATGTGTCAGACACTGCTAATACCGGGACAACATACACAAACAGCATTGGAAAAAGTCCACCCTCAATTTTGCTTACATTCTGTTGGGAGAAAGAACATATATACATTTAAGTATATACAAAGTTCAAAATAGGGCAATTTGGGGAGACAAGCACTAGTAGCTGGGGTGGGGGGATAACCAGGAAAAGCCTCACATTGGAAACTGTGCTTGAGTTAAGATAATGGTGGGTAGTGATGAAGAAATGTGTTCAAATCCTGACCAGGTGATTCAGTCACATCAATACTTTCAGACTGTTTCCTCATATTATAGCTGGGATGGAAGATTAGATTAAATAACAGCCTATATCTTAGTATCCTGAGGCACTTCCTCTTGTGGAGTCCCAGTTTCCAAAGCTGTAAAAACAAACAAATTGAACTAAATGGTCTCTAAGAACTTTTCCTGCTATAAAATTCTGTAATTTTAAATGGGATATATAGGATACAATGGAAGAAAGCAATGTAGTACTGTGGAAATAAAAAAAAAATGAGCATTTTTAAAGATAGTTCACAACTGAGCTCAAAATATTTCTGCAGAATTAAATTCATTCATTACGAATTGGCGGAATGAACAATAGATCACAAGATTCAGAGTTCATGAAGTCCTGATTGAGATATGAATTCTTTTTATCTTAGCAGAGGCAAGGCTTCACAAAAAGAGGTCCTGAAAAGGGATTATGATTTTTGCCTGATGTGAGTCCTTAAAAGCAAAAGTCACGCCCGAAACATGATACCTTGTGGATTGTAATAATGATATTTCATAGAATCTCAGTTCTGTAGGGACCTTGGAGATCATGTAGTTCTATCTATACCTGAACAGGAATCCCCATCACCGCTACCAAAAGAAAGTGCTTCTGGCAAGTAGTGACTTACATACCACTTGCAGACCTTCAGGGATGGGAAATTTGCTACTTTTAGTGACAGTGCATTCCTCTTTTGGACAGCTCTAATGATTAGAAAGTTTTTCTTTAGAGTCAGCTGAAATTTATCTCTCTGTAACTTCTATCCATTCCTCCTAGTTATGCCCTCTGGCACAAAGTAAAATAAGTCAAATCTTTTTTTCCATGTGATAACCCTTCAAATGCTTAGGATCATAGGACCAGAGATTTAAAGTCAGAAAGGACTTAAAGATAGTAGCCATATTGCCTTGTTATCCCTTGATTGTTGTACTTCATAATTGAAGAGGACCAAAATGACATCACTATGTCAGGGTCAATGTACTGTGTCCAGCTGTGGCTGAACAGACCAAAATGAGCTTGGCAGGCTCTACCTTGGAAGGTTGCAAACAATTAGTCAGTGTGAGCATTTGGTATGGAATTGGAAAGGAGGTTACAGTACACTAAAACTCCCCAGTCTTTTTCACATGAACTTTTGTTAAACTATGACTTCCCTTTCTTGAACTTGTATAGTTTAACTCATATTTAGAAGTTAAAATTTTTATGTATTAAACTTCAATTAATTCCATTGAGCTGATTTTTCTAGACAACACATTGTCCTAAGTTCTGATTCTATTATCAGTGTTATAGTTATCCCTCGCAGCTTCATGTCTTCTTCAAATTTGATAATCATGCCATCTATGCTTCTTTCTAGATATTGACAGCAATGTTGAACAGAACTGGGCCAATAACAGATACCATGGGACATTCTACTAGAGACCTCTCTGAATCTAACTAATGATACTATTATACCTCCATCATATACCCAAGGGTATCACATGAAAGAAACTTAATTAAAATGTCTTCCTAATATTATGCCATGTTTATGATACTCTCTTGATTCACTACTCTAGTGACTCTGTTTTGAGAAGGAAATTAGTTTAACTCAATTGTCCTATTCTTGATGAAACCATACTGGCCCTAAGTGGTCAATTAATCACTGCCTCAATTTTTAAGGGATCACAAACCATCCTTTAAATGATATTCTATAATTTTTTACCAGGAATTAATGTTGAACTCAGTGAACAGTTTTAAAATACAGTTTCTTTCCTTTTTTTGCTTTAAATAATATTTTATTTTTTTCTTCCATTACATATCAAGAAAATTTTTATCATTCATTTTTGTAAGATTTTGAGTTCCAAATTTTTCTCTCTCCCTCCCTTCCCTGCCTCTTTGAAAATGGTAGGCGATTTGATATAGTTCATATATATATATGCTATCACGTAAAACATATTTCCATATTCATCACAGTTGTAGAAGAAAAAACATCAAAAGGACAAAAAAACAAAAGTAAGAATAAAGTAAAAAAATATACTTCAAGCTGCTCGGTTTCTTTATCTAGATATGGTTAGCATTTTCCTTCATGAGTCCTTTGTACTTCTTTAGGATCAATACGTTGCTGAGAAAAGCCGAGTCATTCATAGTTGATCATCACACGATGTTGTTGATACAGTATACAATGCTGTCCTGGTTCTGATCATTTCACTTTGCATCAGTTGGTACAAGTCTTTCCAGGTTTTTTCTGAAATCTGCCCGTTCATCATTTCTTATTGCATAGTAATTTTCCATTACATTCATATACCACAGCTTGTTCAACTATTCCCCAATTGATGACCATCCTCTCAATTCCCAATATTTTGCCACCACAGATAGGGCTGCTGTAAATAATTTTGCATATTTAGGTCCTTTTCTCCTTTTTTGTGCTCTCTTTGGGATACAGGCCTAATATTGGTATTACTGGATCAAAAGGTATGCACAGTTTTATATCCCTTTGAGCATAGTTCTAGATTGCTCTCCAGAATGGTTGGATCAATTCACAACTCCACCAACAATGCATCAGTGTCCAAATTTTTCCACATTTTCTCCAATATTTATAATTTTCCTCTTTTTTTTTTTACATATTAACCAATCTGATTGGTGTGAGGTGGTATTTCAGAATTGTTTTAATTTGCATTTATCTAATCAAAAGTGATCTAGAGCACTTCTTCATATGCCTATAGATATCTTTGATTTCTTCATGTGAAAACTGCCTGTTCATATCCTTTGACCATTTATCAGTTGGGGAATGGCTTGTATTCTTATAAATTTGACTCAGTTCTCTATGTATTTGAGAAATGAGGCCTCTATCAGAGACACTTGCTGTAAAGATTGTTTCCCAGCTTTCTATTTTCCTTCTAATCTTGGTTGCATTAGTTTTGTTTGTACAAAAGCTTTTCAACTTAATCTGATCAAAATTACCTATACTACATTTTGTCGTGTTCTCTGTCTTTTGTTTGGTCATGCATTCTTCCCCTCTCCATAGATCTTACAGGCAAACTATTCCTTGCTCTTCTAACTGATTGCTTCATTGTCTATGATACCCTTTAGCAAGATGTAGTTTCCTTCCTTATCTCTTAATTAGGTCTATTTTTGCTTTTACTTTGTCTAAGATGGAGATTATTACCCCTGCTTTTTTTTTTTACTTCAGCTGAAGCATAATAGATTCTGCTCCAGCCTATTACCTTAACTCTGTGTGTGTGTGTGTGTGTGTGTCTGCTTCAAGGATGTTTCATATAAGCAACATATTGAAGGATTCTGGTTTTTTATCCACTCTGCTATCCACTTCCATTTTATGGGAGAGTTCATCACCGTTATGATTACCACCTGTGTATTGCCCTTCATCCTATTATTTCTTCTGTTTGTCCTCTCTCAGCAACCCTTTCCCACCTCACCAATGTTTGGCTTCTGTCTACGACCTCCCCTGAGCTGCCCTCCCTCCTATTAGCTCCCCCCACTTTACTTAATCTCCTTCCCTCCTACTTTATTTCTATATTCAATTGATTGTATATATCATTTCCTCTTTGAGCCAATGCTTATGAGAGTAAGGTTCAAGAGATGTCCATCACCTACTCTCCCATGTTCCCCTCCACTATAATAGGTCTTTCTCACCTCTTTATGTGAGATAATTAACCCCATTCTACCTCTCTCTTCCTTCTGCTCCCATTATACTCCTCTTTCTCATCCATTAATTTTTTTAAGTCATTCCCTCCAATTCACCTTGTACCCGTACCCTCTGTCTATGTATATTCCTTCTATCCATACTGTTAGTGACAACATTTTTAAGAGTTACAAGTATCATCTTCCTGTGTATGGTTGTAAACAGTTTAGCTCCATTGAACCCTTTTGTTTTCTTTTCCCTTTTTACCTGTATATGTTTCTCTTGGATCTTGATATTGGAGGTCAAATTTTTGGTTTAGTTCTGGTTTTCTCCTTATTAAGACTTGAAATTCTTCTATTTTGTTGAATGGCCATTTTTCCCTTGATGTATTACATTTAATTTTGCCAGGTAAGTGATTCTAGGTTGTAGTCCTAGCTCCTTTGCTCTTTAGAATATCAGGTTCCATGACTTACAATCCTTTACCATTGCAGCTGCCAAGTCCTATGTGATCCTGATTGTGACTCCCTGATATTTGAATTTTTTTCTGGTCACTTGTAG